TACATCTTTGGAATGTTAAGTTTCACTAAAAGTTTCACGAGTGCGTTAATGAACAAAAGCTCAACACCACGATTCCATTAGTTTATTAATAGTACGCTAGTATAATATTTATTAAAAGTTAACGAATTCTATCTACAAGCTTAATAACTCTACATTATATAACGGCTGCCGATATCCACATCGATTTTTGTAATCGGAGAAATAGGAAAAGTCTTATGTCACCGTATTTAACTTTGTTAAGAAGAAATTAATTGTAAGTAAATTTGAAAAATCGTGCATTTGTATGCAATCTCTTTGTTTTTGATATCATAATTCAAGATGTCTATCGGCAGACTCGATATAATGATTCTCTGTATTTAGGACATTACGATGTATTGTCAATCGCGCGTATCTTTGGCGATAATTTTTCGATTTAATAATCGATTTGAGTTTCTTCCTTTCTGTTTTCTTTGATATATATTATAAGTATTCGACAAAATATTACACATCCCTGAGAATTGCTATTGACATCTCCGGAAGAAGAATACTTCATTATTTCTTTATGACGATCTCTTATTGACGACTCCCTTAGTAAGGAACATTATCTCGTACGTAGGCCTGTTTTCGGTACTCATGATGCTGACACTTGCCCCACCAAGACCGTTTCACGCATATCTTTTGCGGTTTCAGAATAAAGCACTTTGATTGGAGTACATTGAAGAAGATTGTGCCTATAAAATCTGCCGATGCAGTTCCAGCCATTTTCAAACATGCGCGAAATCTGTAATATATAAAAAAAAAAAATACTCAAACGCAAGCGTAATCATTATCGCGAGCATTTCTTCACGGACGGTATTATTATTTAACAATTTCACCAATTACTAACCGCTCGTCGCAAGCGCAATGCATCATGCTCGAAATTCTCCAGTTGAAAACGCCGTAACGCATTTCGAACGCCGGTATGTAAAAGGGACAAGCCGTATCGTGTTTACGGCAACAGGCATCGGCCACGCTAAAGCCACCTAAATTTGTATACTTGGTAGCACGGTTACCACGACCGCACCATTGTGTCCCTGGTATCATGAATAATTCTCTTCGACTCCGACTCCGACTCCGACTCCGACTTTGCTTGCCATCAGTTGTCGCGTTTGTGGATTTTGCGTATTTCCTGTTGGAAAAGAAATTTAATTTTTTTTGCTTGTATATAACGGGCCTTCGCCGTAACAAGGGGTCGAGGGATTAAACGAGTCAGCTCAGGGGGTATATTCGCTCACACGGTCATACCTGTGTCGATGTTGGGCTACGGCTTGGCCGCGCACTCGCATCCTCATGCGATCACACCGGTGACGAAGCTCCGATGTCGACAATAGCCAAGAGAGGTCACGGGGTATCCTCGAAATGTCCTTATCGTCCAGTTGGAACACCTCGATCATCGTCGACACCTCGTCACCGTCATCGTGATAACGATAGACACCGCGAGAGCTGGGCAAACACTCGCTGTCGTCCCACCACGCGAGCTTCTCGTCAATGCAGTCAGTCAATGTTTCACCGGCGTATATCAATTGCAGCTTTCTCTTTGACTTACGAAGCCAGATTTGTCGCAGCATCACGTCCGTATTTCTATCGAAAAAAAAAACAAAATGTCATAATGTCCAATTTTCGATTAAATATCTCGCATGCGCGCCAAAGTAGTAGAATATTAAAATCTGAAAAATATTTTACGATGTTATTCGTATATCTACTTTTTCGCGGCATTATTATTTTTTTTTTTTTGTATTTTAAAGTAATAACGATAATCATCGTTCAGTGTTAACAAAAAAATTCAACGAAACTATGTAAAAGTGAGATAAACCTCTTTTTTACTTATTTCAGAATTGAGAGATAGAAAATATAGGGAGGGAAAAGGAGTAGATTTATGTCTTGAAATGAGACATCTGTACACCTAACGGAATTTTATGATGTGTAATGCTACAACGCAATAAAAGGAAAAAAAAACAAAATTGTATTTTTACAATTATTCAAGTGACGAATTATTCAAGTGACAAGAGCAAATTCGGAAAGAGGGGGATGGTTAGCGGAAAGCAGGGCGTGCACTTTCTTCACGATGGTGGAAAAGAGCTTTCGTCCTGCGTTTAAGTGCAAAGTGACGCTTCGTGGTTGTGGTATTCCGTGGTATCCTCGTGAGAGCATCAGCAGATGAGTCCCATCTAGGAGAGTAAAACAGGACGGCGACCTACCGAACTACGTTTAGGTCCAGCGCAAAAGGGGCCAATCCGGTCCCTACGTAAAGGTTCCAGGACATCCGCTCGTCGCAGAACCTAATCCTTGCTTACTTAACTTGCCGCTTTTCGGCTTAAGAGCTTGGTTGGCTTTGCGGTTACTGTCAACGAATAAACATGATAAATTGTATCCCCTTTTTTGGCTTTCAAATCTAAATAACAATTATATTATAGCATTTTGTGCGCTACTTTATTATTATTATTATTATTATTATTATCTCGTATACAATTAAATTATTCCCTGGCCATTTTTTATAGTATAAAAAATTTCCTGATTTTTTTTTTTTTATGTAATATCTTTTGCACAATAATGACATTTTTCTGTTCTCTATTTCTCTATTTTAATAAATTATACATGCTCAAGAAAATGTACTTTTTGAACATCTTCCCGAATAGTTATTGTTACATTACATTCAAACAAGAAAAAAAATTATCGGAATATTACCAAGTAAAGTTTATCGCATAATTTGATACAATTACTAAATTTAACTTTGCATTATTATATAAATATTAGATTATTATAAATATTAGTAAATATAATACATAAATAATAACATGCGTAACTCTTAATTTTAAAACCAGTTAAAAAATAAAATTTGTTTACATAATCCGAAAAAAAAAGGAAAAGTAAAATGCAGAATTTATTCATTCGTTCGAACATTGATCCTTTTCTGTGGTTAACGCGGCATTATAATTGTATTGAGACTTGTTACGGTTGTGACAAGGATTCACAGAGACCGCTCCACTAGACTGTATCAGTGTTCTTCGGAGCGATGGGTGGCATTTGAAAGACCTAACCGGCGCTAAACGTATACGTAACAGTCAAGCTTCCATGTATATTGGCAATAGTGAAAGGAGGCATTGTTTTCGTGCTTGCCAACCGAGTTCCCGCTTCAATCCTCCCGGCTGCGCGGAGGAGGGGACGATGGGTGGGATAGGAAGAAGAGAGAGATTTGCCTACGTCCAGAGAACATGTTATTTCAGGAAAGAGGATAGTACAGGTTGTTACACATTACTATAAAAACACTCGAGACACTCGTTTTATGAAAGAAGGCGTGTAAGGGGCCAAATCCAGATCTCGCGCATCATCATTGGCAAGTCCAGATCTTTCAATGTAACATAATAGGGCAATTTGTTACACGGTTGCTTTAAAATATACCGAAACTGTTTGATCTCGTCTAGTTTATTCAATATTTGTATCGTATTAAAATGTTAAAATTGCAGCTATGCCTACCCCCAATTGACAACGAGCTCCTTGGCGCAAGCTCCAGGCCACCGAATGAATCGTTCCGACCGTCCATCGGACAAGATCCTGATGACCGAAAAATTGTGACTGGAAATCGTCCCGTTGAATTCGGACGAAACATTCGATCGTGCAAAATATGTACCTTCTCGCAATAAAGCTCCGACAGACGATTGCGCGAAAATCAACCCCAATGCCAACAGTAGCATCGGGTACCTATACCAGAAAGTCATCGGACTTTTTATAATATTCTTTAAATTTGTATAAACGTGAGATTTTTATCAATAACAAAAATTAAATTAATTTGCAGAGAAAGATATAAAGAAAGATTTAATTTTGTCATCCATTTATTTCCTACCTTAAAATAACTACAAAACTACCTTTTATAATCTTATAATTCTCCAATAATTTAATGTTCTCGAGACGATGTAATGTACAAAATATTTAAACAATTTTTTTATATATAATAATAATATTAATAACATCTTGTTACAACAAATATGACAAATTATGATAACAACAAATTATGATAATTGTAACTTTCTATTTCTTTCTGCACAAAATCTAAAAAAATAACTTGAAAAACTGACGTAAATGAAAAGGTGTGTATTTTTAATTTAGATGAATACTACAATCTGATCAGTATTTCTATCCTGTACTGTAAATTTCTTTTTTTCTTTTTAGTCAAATTTTTTCTAACCACAAATTTCTAATAAATTGATAGATACCAAAAGAAAGAAAATAAGAGAGAAAGATAGTGTCAAAAAGATTAATCTATAAGTTCAAAAATAGATTAATAATTTATAATATCATGTTTATAATTATATTTATTACATAATCATTATTATCCAAATTATTATCCAGAATAAAAAAAAATGTATATATATTTATATAATAATTTTATATAAAGTCTTCAACAATTATATATCCAAAAATTATTACAATCTTTTTACAATAATTATTATAATCTTTTTGAATATATAACATGTCTTAAACTTAATCTCATTTATCAATTCTTTAGTTGTGATATACACAAGGTAATCAAATAAAAATGAGATAAATAATCTCTGATAAATAATTAAATAACTGTGAATATAAAGATAAAGATAATAAAAATTTAAAAATAATTAATAAAGTTATATTAAGGAAAATGAGAAATATAAATATCATTTATAGTATATTTGTGATAATTGTAATATAATTTCTTTTGCTCATTCGTAATAATGTTGTGTCTCAAGAAAATTACGTAATACATCATATAAATTATCTTCCTTTTTACATAGATATCGCGATATATTCAAAAATAAGACAAAGACATCGTCTTTTTTTATAATAAAATTTTAATAGTTACATGTATCATATTTGTTTATTATTTTATTATTATATATCAAAAAATTCTAAAATTAAGTAAAAATTAAAATTTTTTAAAAACAATTATCACTTTTTGTCAAGTTACAAAGCAAATGACATACCTCTTTGATACACTCATCTGTACCATCCGAGATTCAAAGTTGTCCAATTCTTTCGATTTTCAAATACTAAGAGTTCAAATAATGCCATATGTAACTTTTCACATAACGCCGTTGCGGGTTTAAAGAGAAACCTCGCAATCCTTCGTATATTCACTTAACTTTGCACTTGTATATTTAAGATCGTGAGTGAACTGAAAGATGTTTGATTATATTGCGACAGATGAAAAAAAAAAAAAAACAATTATGTGACTTCCCGTTTCACTTTAAGTGTCACCAAATGATTTCTTTATTGAGGAATTTAATTTAACTTATCATTTCTTTTTAGATTAGATTAATTTTTTTAGATTTTTTTCGAGATTTGTTATTTATGTAAAATTACTTCTTGGAAATTTACATATATTTATATATGTAATTTTTTTTATCGGCGCGCAATGTTTCCGGCTTCAACTTACTTCAACTTTACTTTAACTGTACTTGGCGCCACGCGACGTGACAGTGAAACGAGTGTCAGTCCGAGTGTGAAAGCCAACCACCAACCGGCCGTGCTAACAACTGGCGCGCTACGCTCGCGACTCTCCCTTAAATACCGCCGAGTACAGTTCGGGTGGTTCGGTTGTCCAGCAGCAGTTCACCTATACCATCACCGTTCTGTCACTTACGGCCTCTTCTCTCTCGTCTCTCTTCGCTGCTCTCTCCCCGTCCTGCTCCACTCCCTATATACTCCCTATAGTCTACCCTACTCTGAGTTTCCCTTCTGCAGTTCCTCTCCGCCGTTCGGACACCAACCAAACTCCACCCCCTGCCCCTTCTTCTTGTCCTACTCCTTCGCATCACCGGCATCTACCGCCAACGAGCCGCGCGCCTGCCAAATCCAATCCCACCTACTCATCCTGCGGGATCTAATCTCCGCGTGGTCTCTTCCTCTTTCTTTCCCGGTCTTACCCGCCAATTTCTCTCTTCTCCTCTCTTTTCGGCGTAGCCGAAGCTGCAGCCACCTCCCCCTCTCCTCCTCCCCCCCTCCCCCGTCGACTTCTTTCAGCCTTCGAACGACTGTGGTAAATGCCGGTGCTTTGGTCCCGCTGATGCATCCATCACCGCGCGTCACTGCACCTTGCGGTCATCGATATTCGAGATTTCGTCGTAACCGTACACGTCGTAATGCCGAATTGCGAAAAAAACTCGCTCTGACATAATATGCTGATATCAGTCGTGACCTTCCTTACACTTTATCGCGAGACACGCGTGTAATCGGAATATATACGGTGACTTTAAAATATATATAGATTGTGGAATTTCTCGTCACATTTCCGTGTCCTCTTTCCTTCTAAGTTGAACTTTTCTTTTATCGCAACGATCGAGAGCCTTTTACGGGCAGTCGACAAAATGTCTATTTTCTATAACTGAACTAGTAGTACACTTGTACTTGAAATAAAATAACTGTATCTTTGTTGAAAACGAGAAAAGAAATTTTAGTACAGAACCGATGCAAGAACAGAAAACAAACTAATATTAAATATCTTTTTCAAGTGTCATAATAACAATGTAAATAAATGACGAAACCATCCATCTAAGTTGAAATAAAGTTTATTCAAATACAAATTTAATCATATTAGATATTTAATGGTGCTAAAGAAAATGATTTTGCCCTGATTTCGATCTGATTTCTATCAAAGAAAACTCAACATCGGAGCCTATAACATTACAATTTGAAGTCGTACATTAATGTAAAATATAGAGAGGCAAGCTTTATTTTACAAACAATAAAATTACTTTTCACCTATGTTTCTTTTCTGTCATTCATATTATCATTTCCAAACGGCGTTACAGGCCAGCACATAAGCGAATCGTTCGACAATAATAAATTATGCAAAACCGTGCGACAAACGCGGTTGTCATTGGCTGCAAGTTCTAAAACATCGTACCACGATTGGCACGTGGCCAAAGGTCGTTTTTTCGCGCGAAACGCGCGATAAACCTTCGTCTCTGCATATCGCGCGACTGATTTTTTGCATTATATGATTCTTATGCGTATCTGCAGATCTTACTCTGTGTAATTTTGTTTTGTTATAGGAAACTTCTTGAAATATATACTGTTTCGTAAGTAAATATAATCGTACGAATAAGAATAAATTGTGAATTTTTAAATCTCTGTTACAAAATGTTACTGAGGGCGCATAATGACAGTTAATAATAGTTATAAAAAAATTCCTCAGAAAGAGTGATGTATTGATTAATAAGATAATAAAAATTAGCAAATTTGCAAGAAACAACTGTGTGCGTTTAAAGTCGAAAGTATAGAAAATGATATAATAGGTAATAACCTTTGGAAAGGAGCAATAATACAATATAACACTGGCAAATGTAAGATGTCCGAATCGTAAGATTTGTGCTTTCGTGAATTTGTTTGGCGATTTTACGCGTGTGAAATTGCAACGGTCAAAATCATTTGGCGGAACGGATAAGTGGCGGAGAAAAGGTGGCGGCGGTTTCCATCCATTGTAACTCTTGTTATGACTCTGGTGGAAGATGAAAAGGCACGGGCCTTTTCTATCTATAGCGTGAAAAAGAGCGCATTAGGCGCCATGTATACTTTTGCATCTAAAGTTAAACATTTCTGATTCTGAAACGCTTGTCGTTCTTATTTATTTTGTATTGTTTCTTTTACACGAGCTGTTTATATTTTCTAAAATAAAAAAAATTTGGATTTAACATAAAAACGTAGCATTAAAAAATTACATATAACATCATATCAAAAGAGAAAAAAAAAGAAAGCTTTTAGATTTTTAATCAACAATTGCGATGCACGATGGATGATCCAAGTATGAGCACTCGAGATGAAAGTAAAGCCTAAGTAGGTGTGTGTGTGAGAGCATACATGTCGCCTAATATATAACTCAGAAGGAGGTGTAACAGAAGAAAAGGACTATGGGTGAGGCAAAAGGCGAGAAGGCAAAACGAGGGGCGAGATGAGGGTCCGTGAGTAAGGAGGTAATTCCTACCGTACGCGATTGTTCGGCTTTCGAGGATTCGCGAACGAGTCACCGTCTTTATATGCATGATCCTGAGGATGATAAAGCAAGCCTGGACCAAACTTATCCCCGCTCTCCTAGTCTCAAATGTCGAAGACCTCCTCTCGGCCTTCTGTCGGACAACATCGACAGCGTTTGAACGCTTCCTTGCTAATCACCGTTACGAATCTGGCAGTGAGCTAGGTAATACCAATTCGCGATTGAAAGGGAATGCACAATTGGTCTGGAGCATTCTATATATATTCTATATATCACTTTTACCGTCTCGCTGACATGTTCAGAAAGATGTTTTGTTGAACGACTTTCGAAAGCCAGATAACCTGTCACCCCTCTAAACTTGAAATATCGATACAGTTTTGATTGCAACAATTTAAATAATTGTTCACATAAAACGATACGCTTCAGCTTAACTCTAATAAAGCAATCTAAACTGTTCCGAAAATTAAACTGGGAAAATTAAATTTCTCAATTAATTAATTTATTTCTTAAGTATTAATTAATTAATGATACAGCAATAATTAATTAACATTGCAAAATGATATAATATAGAATTTGACATAATATAGAACTCTAATATATAATAATATATAATAATAATTAATATAATTGATAATACAAAAAGAAATTCACGTAAATAAGAACTTGTATCGACCGACACCCTGTCGAGGAATCTCGTCAGTGATTCGTAGAGTTGACCCCCTTTTCAGGCTTTCGCGACACTTAAGGCATTCAGGCAGCCGCCATTTTTCGCGACAATTACCGTGCAATAATTACATAATTCTCGCCACACTTGGCACACGGCGCTAGAAGGGATCGTCGAAGGTAGTTAAAACCACAAGTGGTCGAGGCATTAGAGAAGGGACAAATTTGTGTCGAATGCGATGCGCCATAAGCGACAAATGCGGTTAACCCCGCAGGAAGCGGTATAATTATTTTAAAATGCTGGACGATCATTTCTTTGATCATTTAAGAGCGAATAAAATTTCTTATTTTGATTCTAAACTCTCTAGGGACGAAGATAACGAATAAAAAAAAATAGTTGTAAAAAAACTAAACAAAACATTGAACCATGAGAATTCGAGACTTTACAGAATCAATCGAGACAGCGAAAGAGAGACGTTAAGAATAGGCGTTAAGATTTTCGAGGAAACGTCAAGAATCCCTAAATGAGAGTGGGGGGGAAGAAAAGGGTGGGGGAAAGAAGAGAGAAAAGAGTCGATGGTCTTGCTCCAGCAATTTATCCGCATCTCTCTCCCTTCCGCCCTTTCATTTTAGTTCGCGATGAGACAATGGGACAACAGTTGCAAGACGCGATAGCGCCGGATTAATTCTCGATCGATTTCGAAGCTACTCCATCCGCTCGTATTGTCCACAATCGACCCTGATTGTGAGAGTCGTCAGCTTCGCGTAGACGTGTACGTCGTACACGTGAATTGGTGTAGACTGGCAAGTATGCGTGTGGATGCAGCGCGCGCGCGCGCGCGCGTGAAGAAGGCCGAGACCACCGGAGACCGAAGATCAAATTATTATTATTATTATTATTATTATCATAACCATCTGCGTGTTCGCCACTTCCGAAAGCTTAAAAGTTGGGTCGTTCGCCACCAGATCAAAGGAGCCAACTCG